CTTTGTAACGCTGGCTAGAGTACTGTGGCATCAGAGCTCACAGCCACCTCAAACTCTTGGACTCAAGCAATCCTCTCGCCTCAGCTTCCCAAGTAATTGGAAGTACAGGTGCCTTCCACAACACCCAGCTCATTTTTCTATTTTTAATAGAGATGGGGGTCTCATTTTTTTTTTTTTTTTGAGACAGAGTCTTCGTTACTCTGGGTAGAGTGCTGTGGCATCATAGGTCATAGCAACCTCAGTCTCTTGGGCTCAAGGGATCCTCTTACCTCAGTCTCCCAAGTAGCTGGGTATGTAGGCACCCACTCTTGCAATGCCCAGCTAGTTTTTCTGTTTTTAGTAGAGATAGAGTCTTGCGGTTGTTCGGACTGGTCTTGAACTCCCGAGCTCAAGCAATCCTCCCAGAGTGTTAGGATTACAGGCATGAGCCACCACACCCAGCTCATATGTGAAAACTTTTATATTAATAAAAAGCCATTGAAAGCAAAGAGTGTCAAAGCCTAAATGCTCACCTATTCAGCTTATCCTGCCCTTCAAATTCACTTCTGCAATCATCTCTCCTAAGAGATGGATACTACTTATTTATTGACATACTTCTCAAAAAAGGTAGGGCATTCTGTAGGGAGATGTATATACATCCTAATTATTCTAACTCATCCAGACATACATTCACTACATTTTACAAAACAACCCTTATCCTTATAATGTATGATGCATTTTGATACTTTTTGTGATAACCAACAATTGATTTAGTGACTATCAGTAGTTTAAGACTTATCACTGGAAAACAATGCCCTAGGGCAGTGGTTCTCAACCTTGCTAATGCTGTGGCCCTTTAATACAGTTCCTTATGTTGTGGTGACCCCCAATAATAAAATTATTTTTGTTGCTACTTCATAACTGTAATTTTGCTACTCTTATGAATTTTAAATATCTGATACAAAGGGGTCACGACCAACAGGGTTGAGAACTGCTGCTCAAAGGTATGTATTGACTATATTTTCTGAACTAATCTTTATTGTTAATCAGCAAAAAAAAAAAAAAAAAAAAATCTCCATTTTTGAGAATGAAATCTCCTGTTGAGAATATATGCTCAGTGTCAGGGGCTGAGTGGACAATTTAGAGACTGTAAAAAAAAGGATCACATGGAGAACACTTCACAACTCCAAATAAAATCTTCTTGGTTTAGAATATAAATGGTGGCTCGGCGCCTATAGCTCAACCGGCTAAGG